TTTGGCGGGTCTGGGCTGGGGATTCGAACCCGCCACCTTAGGTGTACGTGGCTGGCACCTTAGCCGGTTGAGCTATAGGCGCCGAGCCAGGAATTGGAATTTCAATTCAAAGCACTATTTCATAATGCTAGGGCATATCTGGCACAGTACAGAATTGGACAGTAATTTATTCTAGGATTGGTTTATGTAAGTTTACAGAAGGCTTCAATGTCATGGTCAGGTATAAGAACTAGCACACGTGTAATACAAAGTCAACGATAAATCTCTCCTCACCTCACCCAGGTTGGTCACACGCTTTCTCTTGCTGTTCTTTAATCAGCAATGACAATATTGTGCCTTATGCATCTCACACAAATGCCACGGAGAGAAATGAGGTAACATTAAATACTCAAGCTCTTTAGAAAGACGTGTTCTCAAAGAAAAAGCTTTCCACATTACATTCAGGAAATTCTTTTGCAATTACCCATCAACTCCTTCAAGCCTCAACAAAATACTCATCCCTTTAAAATAAAAAGAAAAGCTTTTCCTGATGGCCTTCACCCATTGCAGCTACTTCTTCATACTTTTAGCACCCTGGCATTATGTCCACATTGCATATTTCCCCTTGGCTCTATTACTTGGTAACACCATCTGTCCAGCTGCCCATGCTAGAAACGTCAGCACTTTCCAGGCCCTCTCTCTTACTCACCATCTCTCCAGCTAAGGATATAGTCTGGGCAAGCTGGTCACAGTGTGTCCTGGGACTCGTGGCACTGCCATAGCCATCCAGTGTGCTTCCATAGGCTGTTGTAGAAACTCACAGTCCTGTACTGTGGGCATTCATTGGTCCCTTGCCTATTTCTCTCAATAAGCTATGGGTTCCTTGAAAGCCAGGACTCTATTCTTTGACTTTGTATTCTGAGCATCTAGCATAGTTAGGCCAGGCACAAAGTAGGTTCCTAGTCAAGGCCTGCTGAATGAATGGATGAATTTATTACTCTGAATGGGTGACCAAGGAATGGCAGAATATCAAGCGTTTTGGCAATTTTAGGCCTTGTTTATAACCCATGATTTAAAAAGCATACTTGATCATGGTTAAAAACAGACTATTGTATTATAGCTTCTCATTTTTACTAAAATATATCTATTTTTATTTTTCAAGATTAATAAGTCTTTCTTTCTTCTTCTTTTTTTTTTTTTTGTTAATTGAAAATATTTTCTTGGCCAGGGATGGTGGCTCATGCTTGTAATCCTAGTGCTCTGGGAGGCTAAGGTAGGAGTATCGCTAGAGCTCCTGGGAGTTTGAGACCAGCTTGAGCAAGAGTGAGACTCCATCTCTACTAAAAATAGAAAGACTAGCTGGGCTTTGTGGTGGGCACCTGTAATCCCAGCTGTTAGGTAGGCTGAGGCAGGAGGATGGCTTGAGCCTAGGAGTTTGAGGTTACCCGGAGCTAGGCTGACGCCATGGCACCCTAGCCGGGGCAACAGAGAGGGAAACTCTGCCTCAAAAAAAAGAAAAATTAGAAAAAAAGAAAATATTTTCTTGGTTGAGACTGCCCTTCATAAATCTCTTCCAAAGAAATTCCTCCCTCTCCTTTTATCATCTACAAGCCATAAAAGGTTTAAACAAAGAGAACTCATAAATTAAGTGCCCTGGACTCAAGAATTCTAAAGAAGGCAAATTGACACATGCACTTTATTTACCATCGGATGAAGGTGTCCATGGGTACAGAATCTCAGGTGTAGAAGGGGCAGTGATATAGTTGGAGAGACAACTTTCCTGTCCTCTTTCTATAGCTGCTTTGAATAAGAGAATGAACAGCAATGATCCATTCGCAGGAGGAAAGAAAAGTATTCAAAGTATTCATACACAAGAAACCTGGATTCAGAGCAGCTTTCATTCAACCACATTCTGTGGCTCAAACAAGGGAGGTAAAGATTTCCTTTCAGCAGAAGCATCAAAATACTTGCAACAGCTCAGGGAAGACATGCCTTCGCCAGGTGTCAAGAAAAGTGAAACTCAGCCTCTTGCAACAATTTCCAACCTTTCCTAAGCACTGGTTCCTATGGAATGGCCTGGGGGCAATCATGGTTTTATTAACGAATGGCCAGTGGGTCTGCTGAGCCTACCCAGGCAATCGACATTGTGTTTATAAAATCCCTTGGCTTCCTCAAAGGAAATGTACAAATAGTACAGCTGTTGAGAGTTTGGGCTCTGGGGATAGAACAGTTTCCATTCAAGTCTTCATTCTACTACCCCCTATGTTGAACTCTTGCACAAGTTACATAACTCCTCAGAGCCTCAGTTTCCTCGTTGGCAAAATGGAGGAAAATAGCATGTACACCTCAGTACTGTATGTCCAGCACACAACAAATGGTTAATATGTTACCCTGAGTATTAATATTAGCTGTTATGATCATCTAAAGTAACACAACCCATTATAATTCTGATTCACCTGTTACCTGGGTCAAACATATTTTCCAGACATAACAATACGAAAGTACACGCCTGATTGAAGGGGTGTTGCTCATGTGGCCTGCACCCTATTGAGAGCTGATGTTATCATCTGGGCCTCCCTATTGCCTCCATTCTCAGAGTCGCTTACTCTTGGAAAACTAATTTCCCTTAAGAAACAGGGTATCAGGAAGCGGTGGTGTGAACAGCATGAACAGTATACCCAGCACACAGGACGCACTCTGCTGTCCTTCTCCGTCCAGGCATTGCTGTGAGTTACCTTGAGGTTTGGACGGCCTCACATAGGATTCTTCAGCTGACTGAGAAAGAAAGATTCCTAGCCTGGTTTACAGGGACAGCTGTCAGCCGTTCAGCTAAATTCTATTTTATAAAGTCTATAAATTTACTCGGAATCAAGTTACCAGCTGGTAGGGGGTATATAAAACCATGGAGTTATAGGAGCAAAAAAGAAGTAATTAGCTTGAAATTGATCCAAAGGTTTAAAAATATGTGTACGATTTACCTGTGGGCCAGATCCTGGTTTCAAGTGGAAACCGAAAACCAGTTCAAGGTTCACTATTTTTTCCTCATTTTCTTCAGGTTCCCCTACTGAGTCCTAAAACAGAAATCCAAACACCAATTATTCCAGATGTTTTTACTTCATAGCACTAGTGTTTTTCCATTCTAATCTATTGGTTAACTTTTGGTTATTTTGGGTTAAGCTATAAATTACAATTACTTAAAGCAAGAGAAACAACGTATTAGGCGTCTTTCAGAACTTTGCCAAATGATTTATATCAGATACTTCAAATTGAATGTCATTATCTTATATTTATCACAATGCATCTCACAGGCAATTTTACCCCACAAATGCACTGAGCACCTGGAGATGCACTGTAAGATTTCAACTTGAGCTTTTCACCATACCAGAGTCATCGTGCAGGTGCTAGAGCATATGTGGATGGAGGTCCAAGTAGAATAACAAAATGAATCTTCAAGGGCTTAGAGTTGAAAAACCAGAGTTGGTTTTTTTTTTTTTTCAAATGAGTAGAGTTCTGTGTTATTAGTTGCAAGAGTTTGCTGATTTTATTACGAAGTATGCCATATACCTTTGGATTATATCCAAAATATGTTAACTATACTAGTATGTTATTCAAATAGTAGACCTCCCACCCCTGATAAAAGTGATAATCCAGAGCTCTAGTGTGGGAATTTCTTCAGTGACTTACATGTTGAAAGGTCTCCAGGCCAGGTGGGAGGCCAGAGGTCCTGTAACATTGACACTTCTATCTCCTGGCCACTAAACTGAGGCATGCTGTTCTTATCTGGAACTCACTTTTAATATTTGAACTTGTAAGGAACAAAGGTATTCGATTTATACACACCTTAGCTTCAAAAGGCCTTTTGTTGGGCAGATATAGTTAAATTTCACTTCAAACAACTGTTCCCGATGTTGGCAAATGTAGGTGTGGCCGTGGCAGGTGCATGTGTGGTATGCTTTTAGTTAGAAAAATCCTTACTTACCTTAATTAGTGGTGGGAAGTGAAACAAGTTTAGGTAGTCATGGGTTAATTTCTCAATGGCTGACTGTAAAAAAAAAAAATCACATGACTTTATTAATGATTTGATAATGCCAAGAGGAGATTAAAACAATGGGTACATATGGAGTATAAAAACTTTCCTTATTTACATAGTTCATAAGTTATCGTGGAGATGTTAATATCTAACATCTATTGAGAATTAACCTGATTGTCCAAAGTCATGTGGGTGGTTTGTTATTATTTAAAGGACCAGAAAGATATTTTAAAAAAGTTAAACCAGTAAATAAAACCATTCTTCGAGCACCAGCAGAGTAGAGTCGTGAGAAGTTAATGTTCAATCTGGGCTACAGAATGCAGGTGTCACTCTGTGTAACATGGGAACAGGACGACACACAAGTACAACGCTAGATACTTTCAGGAAGGCAGAAATCTCACTCAACCTTGTGATATTGCTCAGGGCTTTTCTGTAGATATGGGTCCAACACTTTCTCTGCTAATGAAGCACAAAGAAATCTTAAGGGGAAGGAGAACAATTTATACTATGACTTTTTGGATACTTATCATGGATAATTCAGCTTTTCTATGAACTTCTTATGCAGAGAGTAAAAAAGTGTCGACCTGAGAAAAATTAGATGCAGTTTTTCATTTTAAAGCAAAATGAAAGCTGTTGACACCTGACAGTGTAATGAACACTCACTGGGTGTTCTATCCTACTCCTTACACCTGGCTCCTCCACACAAGGGCCTGCAGGCTCAGGGAAGAAGGGAGCCACAGCAAGGTCACGGAGAGGAACGACCAGCAGGCAGGACACTCTTTCCACCTAGATCACCTCCCATTTAAGGACCAGGGGACTCGTGGAGAGGGTACACAAGACTTGTGCCTTCCTTAGTGAAAGAGCAGAGAACAAAGGTCACATTCTCACCATGGGGGTGTGTGAGAGAAACACTTCCACCAGGTACGGGGGAAGAGTGGGCTCCTCTAGTCTGGACACACTCATCCCCAGAGGCCCAGCTTGAAGTATTATTTATCCAAATTGCCCCAAGAGTACAAGCAGGGTCCACCTAGAATACGTTTCCAGTACCCCTTGCCCTTCCCCTTTCCCTCTGTAAGCTTGTCAGAAACACCCATGTTGTAGCTGAGTTCCGTGGCGTGTCCCCTCTTCCGCTGGCAGAGCCCCCCACCAGGTGGCCACTCTAAGCCTCAGCTCTGGCACAAGGGAGAGGGTACCCTCTGTGAATGACTCTTGCAGACTCACCAGGAGCTGGAGGGCAGTCCTAGGTCCTCCCAGATGGGGCCACCCCTTCCCTTGGATCTCAGGCAGCCCCTCTGGGTCATAAGGAGAGGACACTGCACGGATCCCAACTGGGCCAAATAATTTTTAACCCCAAGCAGCTGCTTTTAAAAAGAGGCTTTTCTCCACACGTTTTTTGGCTTCTCTGCAGCCCTTGACCCTTTGATCACTGTTTCTGTCTTCAAGCATTTCCCACCTTTGGCTGCTGTAACACCCTTCCTTCCTCATTTCCTCCTTGCTGGACAGGTCCTCCTGTCTCCCTCTTCTCTCTCCTGCTCAGACTCCCCTGACCTCTCCTCTCATGGGCATCCTTTCTGAAGGCATCTGGTCCTCCAAAGACAGAAGGCCTTCCAGCTGGGAGAAGACTGCTCTTGGGCAGGGCCATAAAGGTGTTCTGCTTTCTTTCTTTTTTATTACTATTTCTTAGTGAGGTGAAATCACACCCCATAAAATTAGCCATTTTAAATCGGGCAATTCGCAGCATTTAGTGCATTCACAGTGTTGTGCAACCCCTGCCCGTGTTTAGTGCAAAACATCTTCATCACCCACAAAGTGGGGGCTCCATACCAAGTCTGCGCAGCGCCCTCTACTTTTTAATCCACTTTAAAACGTACATAAGCAAAGTTTAAACACATTAATTGTTAATACTGCTAGCAGCTGCTCGAAGTCCAGACAATCCCCTCCCAATCTGGAGTCATAAGCTGTCCAGGACCTGGACCTGCCTCCCGTCCACTCAGTGTGGCCAGTCCTGCTGTCCACCCATGTTCCCAGCAGGCTGAGTTGTTTATTGCCACCCAGATCAAAACTGATCTCTGCTCCTCTACGTTCTCTTCTATTTCTTTTTTAACTCCTTATCTCTCTGTCTAGACCAGTGGTTCTCAACCTTCCTAATGCCGCAACCCGTTCATACGGTTCCTGTGGGTCACGACCCATAGTTTGAGAACTGCTGGTCTAGACTCACATTCTTTCCTTTCTTGCTCTGTCTACATTCCAAATTCTGTCCTTCCTCCAAGATCCAGTTCAAGAGCCACCCACTCCTGAGGCTTCCTCTTCCCCTGTCTCTACACCACCCCTCCCAAGTCTAGGTCATGAATCCCCTTCCCCTCCAACTGCCTGAAAGTTATATGTGCACATTTTATCTCTTCTCTGGATGTAAATTGCATAACTGCAGAGTTCTTCAAATCTTCACAGGCCTAGCCTTGCAATTAGCAGGCGGTCACTGAGTTTGCTGAACAATCAACAGTAAGTTTGGACGCTGCTGGCCTCAGCGATGCCAGCCAGCATGGGGGGAGTTCTTTGGCTGGCCACCTCTGGGAATATTTAGGTCTTTTGGTACAGCTCATCACCTCTTCCTCCTAACTGGTCCTTAAGAAATATTGGTCCTCTTCAAAGACAGCAGAGGGGAAGGGAAAGTGGAGGCATCGTATTTGGTATCTGCCAAATAGGACAAGATTTACAAAATTTCTCTTTTGAATTCTGAAATGTCTCTGTGCTGCAGAAATTCCTACTGTGGCCCACCTAAGCCCACGCAGACTTTCAGGATAGACTTGCCCACACCCAAAGGAAGAGATTAAATTCTTTGCCAGTCTTTGAAATATATGTTTATCCACAAGTTTTCCTGTCCATGTTCCAGAAGGGAAATAACAGCGAGGTGCTCTTTCTCCAGTGGAGGTGGTCAGTGCTACGCTGCTACCCAGCGGGTGCTGAGGGACAGTACGGGTGTTCCTGGCACGGATCTAGGGGCCGCAGAGCGAAGTGAGTGGGTTCTCTGTGGACCTTGACGGGGTTTATCTGGAAAGGCCAGTGTGGGTAGCTCTGAGGTAAGGGGAAAATCAGCATGCTGGAAGGGCCTTTGTGAGGACGTGGATTTGGATAGGAAGCTGCTTTTTCTACACATCCTTCTTTTTCTCTCTTGTTTCTGACCTGGGCACACCCTCCACCTCCCCACACCGGGGATGGAGAAAGCTTGATTTTATCTGTGTATCATCTCTCTTGAAACAGGGATAATAAGTCCACACAGATGCCAGCAATTCTTACTAGGATTGAATAACTAAAAAACAAAACCCCCGCCTACCCCCCCCCCACATAAAACAGGTGTGGTTGCTGAATTGCAAAAAAAGCAATAATGGCAACAACAAAAACAGGAGTTTAAATCTTAAAACTACTCAGGATTGACGTTTGGGGGGAAATGCTAGGATTTCCTAAAAGTGGGGATTAGAATACACACCCGGTGGGGTCTGTCCTGGGTCACACTGAGGAAGATCGCAAATGACTTTAGGTTACTGCAGTGGCTGGGGGTTCCCTTGGGTCATGCATGGAGTCACTTCCTGGATTCCTGGTGGATGCTGCTCTCCGGGCCCACACTGCCTTGGTCTGTGCTTCTGCCTCCCTCAGCAGCTCTTCCTGCCCACCCCCATCGCTGGCTTACCGCCTCCCTGTCCCCCACTTTCTATTGCCTCAAGCTTCTCCATGGAGGCCTCTCCTCGGCCCAGCCCCGCCTCACCTTCGTGGCATTCTTCTCAGTTGCCATTGTCCCATTATTGCATAGGTCATACCTGTTTCCTCCACCAGATTGAAGACTCCCTGCAGGCGCAGGGTCTATGTTCAGGTGAGCCCCACTATGCCAGGGATGAACCCTTTTGCTGTTGGATTGTGAGGAGGGAGCCGGGGGCCCCTGGGGACAGCTGCTCACCGGTGGGGAAGTGTGTCAGCACTGGAGCCACCAACACAGCAGCCACTAACTCGAGATCTGCAACCTGGCAGGGGCTCGGGGACGATTTGTGATGGAATGTTCTCCCTTCCCAAGGTACCTTTAAATGAATGATATGCCCCTTGGAGACAATGCCCATGTCTTTGAAGTCTTCTTCCTCCAGAAGCAGCAGCCGCTTCCCTGTAATGTTGTTTTCTTTAAACAAGCTTGCATACACACTCATCTCTGCTGAAGAGTCACCTGCAGGAAGAGATTAGAATGCAGAACAAAATTAGACTCAATTACATCCAGAGCAAAGTTAACGCCATGAATTAAGAAGGTAACTTATTCCACTTGCCTTTTCTGACGAGCTGCTGAACCCAAAAATACTGTGAAAGAGAGGACATATATGGTTTTGAAGATTTGCACATGGTCGGTGTCCAGTTTTAACAGTAAAGCACATAATTTTTAGTAGCTTCAAATATCTTTAATTCCTGCTGTACCCATGAAGGTTAAATGGTGGGTTTTCTCTTTGTAGTTTTAAAACCTTAAGCTTTCAAATTGGGGAAATCTTTCCCTTCAGGGGTCTTGGATAGTTTACAGACTGTTGGCTTTCCTCCTTCCTTGGGAGATGTTTTAATATCTTTTCTAACTTGTAGTAACCTTTCCATCTGTGTGCCGGTGGTCCCCTGGATTGCTGAGGGGCACAGGTTTATTCAATGAGTAATGAGAATCACACAGCAGTGGACAGTGAAGAGGACAGAGTGAGTCCATCCTTCCAGGCCTGGTCATTAAGTAGCCACATGGCTCTGGATAAATCAAAGTGTGGAGCTGTCTGAGTAGAATGAGGTTGGACCCATTGACCTTAGTCTTCATATGTCACGTGACACAAGTTTACTGGTGTCCTCCCCCATTATGTGGAGGACGAGAGATAGGTAGGAGGCCATCTCTGATTCCCTCTGATTCTCTTGGGAGCCCTCAACCCTGGAATTTTATTTAAGTGGCCTGGAAACCACTCAACCTCAGAGTAAAGACTAAAAATAGCTGTTAGAACTCGGTGCTTTTCTAAAAATTTCTTTTCAAATGAGAAGCTGGGGATCAAGAGATTCTATCAAACCCAGGAATAAAGGAGACCCTACGTCCTCTTTCCTTGTGAAGCCAGGCTGGCAGGGAAGTTAGAGTCACCGGGGCCCGGTGAATAAACTGGTGCCAAGTTTCCCTGCTCTGCAGAAGCCAAAGAGGTGAGCTCATGTTGAGAGCGGTTTTACTTCATGAGAACACAAAGGGTGTAGGGAAAGCCAGGCCCGGAACCAGCCTGAGCCAGATAAACAGACCTTCCGCGGAGTTTCTAACAGAGATGGCACCTGGTCTGTTCTCTGGGGCGGGAGCCATACTTGCCAAGGCTGGCATCGTATCTGTTTTTTCCCTTTGTGGACAGGCATAAGTTCTCGAAGCGTCTGATCAGGAATTCTCCTTCCTGCTCGGTCACTAAGGAAGCAGATATGGAGGCTGAGCAGGCTGAGCAGGCTGAGCAGCCTCAGTCCTCAGGGTTTCTATCCAGAATGTGGAGTAGAGGCTTCTGTGGACCTAAACAGTTTGCTTGCAGCCTCTCAAAAACATGGAGCTTCTCTGGCTACAGCTGCAGAGAAAGTCTGGGTGTGCCGGAGTCCATTCTCCTCGGGAGGCCACAGTAGGGATGGCAACTATGAAGCTGTCACTTTCTGAACAGGACTGGGGCGGAAGAGGACCCAGCTCTGTGTAATCCCAGCCCAACACTGCCCTCCCCTGATCCTTCTCTATCTGTCGTGGGTCAAGTCCATACCTGGCGTTTTGAGAAAATTTATGACCCACTTTTTTCAAGTATCTTTATTTGCTATCTGGAGTCACAAATTTTGTCATTGGTATTTATTATTAAATATTCTGAAATATTTTCAGAGAAAACAGGGAGGGAGAATCCTCATATAAGATTTGAAGAAATACTTGTTTTGCTCTTGAGACCTTATTTTCCATCATTATTGCATTTAAAATAGAAAAAAATTGGAATGTGTCAACCTCTCCTAGTAAGGCTCTCCTAAGGCTCAGCTCCCTCTGGCAGCGTTTGTTAAACATGTGGACACATGTAGGAAATACCTGCCCAGGTCAAAGGAGGCATTAACGGAGGCAGCTTACCACGTCGTCTTCAGTCCAAGCACCAATCTCAAAGGAAGGCAGCAGCTGCGTGGAAAATATGCATGAAATGAAAAAAGAGGAATATTATCACTGTCTTTTTGGTTTGTCCTCCCGTCTCAGTCATTTAGCCCTCAGCTGCTGCTCTGGCTTGCTTCCTCCGGCAGGGTAGGTTGAATGGAAAATCATTTCCCTGACCTTAAGAGCACCCAATGCTCCAAGGATTTTGACCCCAGAGGCCAGTAATGTACATCAGTCTCTCAGTAACAATTTATTGTGTGTTGGGAGCTGTTTCAGGAGAGATTTCGTGCAACATGACATATTCCTCTAGATACGTGGCACCCTCACAGTGGTTTTGCATCCCACAATAGGGCCTTGGCAGTCAAGGAATTTCTGACATTCGTCAAAAACCAGAGCCTTTCTCAGAATTCTTGGACAAAAGGAAAATTGGTTTGATTATTAATGAAGATTCCAAAGCAACCATTTGGTAACCAGATGATGTATCACGCTTAGCCTCACAGGGGGCTTTCTAAGTGTTTGAATATTATCTCATTTGTGTTCTATTTTTTAAACCAAATATTAGCATCCATGGATGAAGAAGGACATGTGAAATTGGCACTGTCTTGAAATATGTGGGTCCCAAAGTTGCGCTAACTGAAACAGACAAAAACACTATCTCTCTGTCAGGTTCACAGGTGAATGAAGACTCACAGAGGATTTAAGCCTGCACCATTTTCACAGCCAAAGAGCCATTCTCATTCAATATGTGCCCCGTGGCCATAATCTAAATCATAAATTCTTACATCATTTGAACAAGTCTGTATCCTACAATATGAATTAGGCTTTGGTACAGCCACTAGCTTTCACTCACTTAACTAGCCAAAGTGTTCAGATTGCTCATGAGATAAAGCAAAGGGTCACCTGTAACAGACAATATTTTTTTGCAAGTTAAAAAAAAAGTTGAATTTGGTTGCTTTTACTACTAGTATAAAAATCAGAGGGTGGGTGAGTTAATCCTAACCTGTAGGTATTTATTTTGTACCCACATGTCCAAACTCTGCTAGGAAAGGTACAACCCCCTGGCTTCAAGGAGCTTTGAATTGGGGGGTGAAATAGGTATAGAATTTACATGGGGGGAATTCAAGGCCACCTTCATGTTGGTTTACTTTGTGCATGACATGGAGTATCTGGTAATTCTTTTTTACTGAATAATTTCATAGAATGGATAAAATTGAAGGGTGCATTTATTGAAATGGTGTACCAAAGACTGATGGAGTCACAAGGGTTTTGGAGTTTCTGGGACAAAGGAAGGCAGGTGGCTTGAGCTGGGGGCTGCAGGGCAAGGAGGAGAGATTTGACTCCAGGTGAAGAGAAGCAACAAGGGAAAAACTGTCAGAGGAAGGGATGGGTGTAGCATGATCCCCTAACTGGGGAGGAGAGGCAGTTAGGTTCATAGTGGAGGAAAAAGGGAAAATGAGGCAGACTCGGGGGGCTTCAAGCAGAATTTTTAAAAAATAAAAATGGAATAGTTAAAATAAATAGGGATGTAAAGAGTTTGAGTATCACAGACAAATTGCAAGGACATAAAGAATACACTGTCATCAATACTATTCTATGTGGACTCTGCTACCCTATGTGCTCTACTCCCCTCTAAAATTGTTCCTTTGCTCCCTTGAAATCAGGTGCACCTGCTTTCACAAAGGGTAAAAGAAAGGCTTGAGGAATGGAACCTAATGCTGAACTTGATCAAAGATAAGTTTTGTTTCTTCACAGGGCAGCTGGCTACAGCTGCAGAAACATGCCCGTCCCTTCTCCCATCACGGAAGCAAATGTGAAATAAGGAATGTTTTTTGATTAGTTCCAGAAACAACAGGCTGGGTTACAGAAATATTTCTCTGCATCAAGGCTGGCTTTTATAGGAAGGGGATGGGGGAACGTGTAGTGTTTTTATTTTTATACAAAGTCCTAAACCAAATTGAGAAATAAGTATTTCTTGCATAAAGGTTGTAAATGAAACAATCAGAATCAATAGCTTTGGTTTGAATGTCAAAAGGTGAAGAGAAGAGTTCTCTTGCTCCCTGAGGATGGCTCATCAGTGTGAGCCCAGGAAGGCCTTAGACTCAGCCTGATACTCCCTCCAGCAGGAGTCTTCGCCACAGCTTGCAGAGATCAGCGGGAGGAAGGCTAGAGCCGGGAACTGCTTCGCGAGGGTCTGACTTTGGCAAGACAGGGGATGAGTTAATGATCTCCAGCCACACACTGGCTTACCATTGCCTTTATGTTTTCTGTATCTTGTTAACAGATCAGTGTATCTGCTATAGGATGAGTTCTAAGCCTTTCTGTCTTTCTTTGGGGATTAAAAAAAAAAAACCCCACCTCATGACTGCCCCATCACTTTACAAATTCATTATTTCCACTCCAAATGAATTCAGGAGAGAAAAGCTACCACTCGTGTGCATGTGTGTGACAATGATTCCTTCAAAGGATGTTAGGAATCCAATCTCACAAAGATCTTACATACACAGCAACACATAACAAAGGGGTTTACTGTCAAAACGTTTATTGCAAAATGGAGTCTTAGAACAAAGGAAAGCAAAGAAAAGTTCACATCAAAATGAAATGTATGACACCAACTTGGATTTCTGAATACATCGTGGACTTTGCGTTGGAATATCAAATTCCAACTATAAAATCAGTAACTGTAGAGTCTTACCACACAAGAGTGAAATTTAATCTTCCATACAAACATTATACAAGATATTTGGCATAAGACTTGCTCAGAATAACATTGCAATAGAATAACTGAGAAGAAGTTTTTGTTAAAAAAAAAAGAAAAGTGATAATGCCATCTATTCAAAGCTCACACTCAAAGAATATAAATATTTTCTATTATTTAGTACACATTTTTTAAAAGAGCACAAAAGCAGTATGTGCAGTGTATCGTATCTGACATTAAAAGATAGACTGCTCTGCACACAATGTAAAATAATTAATGGAGGTGCTTGAAACTCTAGTTCTGTAGTAAATAATCACATGCCAGAACGCTCCTCACTGGTAACAGAGCAAACGAAGCTGGGGTCGCAGGAAACTGGGCTCATCCTCTACATTTCTTGACAGACACTCTTTTTTTATCGCAGAGGTATCACAGAGGTGTTGTGTCTAGAGCTGTCAGGCTATGCTATGATTGAAAGAACTGAATAGATTCTTCTCTCTGGCAAGGCTTATAATCTTAACAGGAAAACAGTCTTACTGCAAAGCTGCGAAGGTGCCTGATTATAGGAATATCATGATCTATTGTACATGTGGTATGGTGAGGCTACTACTTTCAAAAGGCGGCCCAAAAAACTAGTATAACAAAACATTTAAAAAAAAAATCAATATTTAACTCAGAGTAAGTTTTCAAACTATCTTTCGTAAAACTCCTACGGCCCTAATGAAAACTTTGAAAAATAAAGTTATGTACACAGTGCTGTGAGAAGTCATTCTGGGTCTCTCCTAAACCCTCCCCCATCCCCAATTCCTTGGTTTTTAATGGGGATCAATAGGTTTGAATGTCTCAGCTAGTGTTACTGTCTGACAAATCCATTTCACGTTAAAAATACTGGCTAAAAACCCGCCCTCAACATTTCCAGAGCATCGACAATAGCAAACTTGGTGCACTCTGCTCCCCTTCCTGTTGGTGGTTACTGACGTAAAATATTAAAACGTGATTTTGCTTAAAAAGAGAGACCACTAGGAAAAGAGGCCTTTTAAATTAACCTGGCTACTTTGCAGAACTGTAGTTACCTCCACAAGATGTTTGTTTTTCTTTTAAACTGTGGAATCTGTATAATAGGTGAATGAATCTGCCCAGGTGAATGTCGTAATTTCATGAAGTTTCCTCACCAACATTCTTCAGGGAATGGAAACTATTTCCACAACTACTGATTTCAGATAAAGCCACAAACTCACAAAATTCAGATTGTGTAGCTGTTGTGGTTTTAGAAATGCAATTTTTGAATTGGGTAACTTTGGGGGAAAAAATAATTATATATGAAACTCTGAAACTGCCAGGCTTAACATGTTTCTCAGTGGGGAAGGGACAATGCGGCTGGTCTTTTGAATGGGAGTCTTTACTGAGGGGACTGGACCCAGCATGCAGGATGTCACCATTCCTGGCACAGGGCACCAAATGTTACCTTAGTCTCCAGGACAACCAAAAATAGGCCCCAGCGCTCCCAACACCATCGGATGATAGCACTGCCTCCCTCCCCCAGCTGAGACCCACTTGTAGGGTTTCCTTTAATTCTATAGGATCAATTTTATGAGTAAAGGCAATACATTTCCAGTTGAAAATTCACAAAGTTCTATTTATATGCTTCAGATTTGGGGGATGTTTTCCTATTTTCAAACTACTAGGAGGACACTGATCTGGAAGAGAATGTGAAACAGCCAATGCTGTTTGACAGTGATCTATAGTCCAGTTCTAGGTGGAGAACGACTTCAATCTCCTGACTGAGGCCAAGGTTCTAAACCCCTCCAGTGTCCCGACGATAGAGCACTGAGCTGGCCAGCTCTGAAATGTTGGTGAGGAACCCGGCAGCAGGTAAGAGAGCAAGGGAGGGTTACCGGTGAACAGTAAACCTGGTCTGAGTCTAGATTCCTCACACTTTTCTCTTTGGCCCTATCTGGGCCTACTTTTATTAATGCATCAAAACTTTGTCTAATCATATGGATTTATATGTAAATTAAGAAAAATGTCAGCTTCATTCCATTCATATATTCTAAATGTATTGCCGATTATTCTTAAATGAGGTTTACATTCTTACATAAAGTGCACAGATCCCCAAATTAGCCCATGGAGACCCCCTTACTTTTCTCAGCTTTGCTCCTGACCACACTTTAAAAACTTCAGTTCTCCCCCAGGGGCCTTATCCTCCTGGCTTCTTAGCATGTCCCTATCGGATGGGAACCTACCATGGGATGCGTTCATTTTGTTCACTGTCGATCCTCGCTCACGAGCATGTAAGTGCCGTGAGCACAAATATTTTCACCCAAGTATTTTCTAG